AGGGATGAGTCAGACAGGTTGTATTTAAGAATGTTAAATGACATGTCTTTGACAGCTGGGTGAATTTAGAAAGGCATAGCCAGACCCTACTAAAGAGATCATAAGTTTGAGTCTAGGGTTTGATTACTAAGAATCACTGTTCCTTTGCCAGAAAAAAAAGTTAAAATACTTATGAAAGGGAGTGGGTGGGAGGGGCACAGGGAGAGGGAAGGGCGGGAAACAGTTTTGTGGGAAATATTCATATATATTTTTTCTCCCGTTTTCCATTTTTAGGCCATGTTTTAAACTCAGTTTTAGTGCATGTATGAAAAGGGCTGGGCAGAAAGTGAAAAAGCAATACATTCCTTGATGCATTTGCATGAAGGTTGTTCACCTTTGTTTGGGTAGTTGTCCATTTGAGGCATGGGCAAATGAAGGACTTTGGTTACTTTGGACACTTAAGTAATGTTTGGTGTCTGTTTCTTAGGAGTGTTTGGGGGAGGGAAGATAATTTTAGCTATTTATTTGTAATATTTTAACCCTTTATCTGTTTTTATACAGTATTTCTTTCTAATTCTATGAGGTTCAGGGTTCAAAATGATGGGAGGTAGAAGAGCAAGGCTTATTTGGTTGTAGGGAGCTTGCAGCTTGTGCTGGTAATGTAGCATCAAGCCCAAGCAAATTAGTCCCAGCCCACCTTTGAAGTTAAGGAGAAAAACCAAAATGGTATTTTTTGCTTTAGGAGGTTTTTCATTGGATTCAGACATCATAGGACTATTAGGAGGTACCTCCCTGTGGAGGTATTGATTTATAGTCTCTCTTTCCTTTACACAAAAGCTGGGCTGGCTTTTTGGGATGTAAACATGTTTTCAGATGCAGTAAAGTTTAATGTGGGACAGCCTCCCTGACCCAGTGGCATGAAAACCATTGCAGAATTAGTAGTTCTCCTATTTCCACAATGTGCCAAAAGTCCACACCCCAGCATTTTGTTTGTAGGAGAACAGATGCCATTCCTGAGAGCTGGACTCCTTTCTCTTTACAAGGAGTCCAGACTTTAATCACTCATGCTCCCTTAGGTAAAACAGTAAAAAATTTGCAGCCATAGTTCACTTAAAACAATTTCAAGCTCACTTCAAGTAAGGGGGCCTGGAATGCTAGGTGGGCATGAAGATAAACCCTTGCTACTGTGTAGCAACACAATTGGACCTTTTTGGAGGAATAGGTCTGAGTCTGGATTCTGGGGGACATCAATAAGAAGCCCTTCTCATAAATATAAAAATCCAGGAGACCATTTGAGTGCAACACAAGTTCTCAGTATTTGGAGGGTCCTCTCAAAATTCTGCGGCCTTACTTTGATTTTTGACACCTGCACTGTGCCATTCCTGATGATTCCATTCAGGATCTGTATCAGCAGGACGGGGCACAGTCCCCAGCACAACTCTTCTGGATTAAAAAAAAAAAAAAAAAGCCAGGTGATTCATTTGTGTATGTGTGTTATAAATGGAGTGACTTCATCAGATATTGAAGAAGATTTCTATATTCAGCTCTTTCTGCAGGTTGGAGTTAGCATATAGAGTTGGAAAATCAGCTTTGGCTTCTTTCCTGACTGTCTCTGATTTCCTCTAGTGTTCTCCCTTTTCTGGTCATCAGCTCTCAACAACTCTGCCACTTTTGTGTCCCAAGGTAATAAGAAGTAGGAAACGAAACATTGCAAAGTGGAGCAAGAAAAGTTATCGGTTACCGTATCAGAGTCAAATGTCTTGGGTGACACTAAGGAGGACATGGGCAAGGTGATACCAGAGTGCTTTATCTTGTGATGCTGATACAGTAGCAGCCTCTCAGACATACAACCAGGTTGGATTTCTCACAAGTTTCTCACCTAGTTTTGAATCCTATCCCATTGGTTTCTGCAGGAAAAGAAAAAAAAAAGTTACATGGTGTTTTAAGTTTGTTTTGGGTGGGGAATACTTTATGGGGAATGTACTGCATAGTATCAGGGGCTCAGCTCCCCCAAGCAGAGCCAACAAATACCAAAATGAGTAAACTGGGAAGCTTTTTCTCTCTTTCTGTCTTCATCCCAGATCAAAGGATCCCGAGTTAGGATCTGGATGAAGGATAAGCCCCTGAATTGTCGATGGGCACACCCCACACACTGACCCAGCATCTGAACTTGCTTAACAGGGAGCCGGGGCTAAACTGCTTCACCCTGCCTGAGAACCAGGGAGCACTGCATTTCTCCACAGGGTGGAGGAGAAGAGGCAGAATAAACCAAGCCTGGGACACCTCCCTCCTGTCTAGGTGTACTCATTCTCCTGTTTCAAAAGACGGCAAGGACATGAAGTCAACTTCTACCTGTCTTCTGCTGCTGGTGTCTTATGTATTCTTTGTTTGACTTGATTCCTCTTCTGTCTTTTGGCTTCATGTTAGGGGTCCTTGGTTAAAGCCTGCTCTGATGTACATGAAGATTTCAGGTTCAAAATCAGTGTATTTTAAACTAAGTATGGGGGTGGGTGGGGATGAAGCAGGATATAATTGCCAAAACCAGGCTTGAGGTTGGTAGCTCTTGGAAATATTTTCCTTAAGGCCCAGGTCTAAAAATTTAGTGCAGCAATATCATGAATTCTCAGAAAAGAAGAAAAACAAAACAAAACCACCTTTCAGGGAGCCTGTAAATCACACAGTATTCAGTCAAGTTATTTAAAGCAGATGCCAGTATAGGAAACTCATTCACAATCCCTGGGCAATCTCATTGTCTTTTACCTTTCTTTGCTTTTCCCCTCTTCTTTTCAACCCTCCTCCTCCCTTATTTCTACCCTGAAGTTAGTTTTTTGAGGGGTAGGAAGTATTTAACATCTCAAAAACTAGGTTGGGAAACAGGTTCAGCTGTAAAAGCTGGGCTTTAAATTTTGAGTTTTAAAAATGTACATCAGGAGCAGCTGGGGAGGGTCTTTTCTAAAATCTTTGAAATTTGATTTTCTCTGTATATGGCCATTCTGTAAATACTTTGGGGTTTTTCATTTTTTGAAAGGAGACAAAAATCTGTGGGATTCCCCCCCCAAAATTACAAAAGAACCTGATTATTTACATGCAAATAAATTTCTTTGATAAAAACTAATATGTCTGTGTGTAGTAAGTTTTTAACCTTTGAGTAATTTTAATTTATTCAGCTTTTTAAAAATCTGGTCAATCAAATTTTTCTCAAAAAGTAAGTCGTCTCCAGTAAATATTACTTGAAATAGGTTAACTGGAAAAGATCATTGAAATAGGGAAACAGACCTGTGAAAGTTTCATTTGATTTATCCTCTCGAGCCAGTTACTATTTTCTGCAGGACTTAGTTACCAAGTTCATCAATTCTTGCTGGGAGAAAACTGCTCTTAGGTAAGCCATAACTAAAAAGCTGTTTTTATATGGCTGAAGTGAAGCAATATTAAAAGTATCTGTGAGGGGAGAGAACATAACATCCACACCTGTGTTTGTGGGTCTGCGAATGAGTTTCTGAAGCTTAGGTTTCTTGCTTAGGAAGCCCTTTCTAAGATAATGAAAAACAAAACACCAAAACTTGGAAGAGGTGGGTAAAAAGCCTTACAGCTAAAATATACCTATTTTTAAAGCTCTCCAGCACTATTAAGTTCATAATTAGATTCATAATGAGCCAGTCACCAAAACTGCGAATTAAAAGATGCATGAAGACAAACTCATATCCGCTGGGATTTATGATAGCTTCTAATTTATCTTTGGGATATTCTGTAGTTTGTTGATGCTCTAAGGTTAAACTCTTTTTTTTTTTTTTTGGTTTGTAGGCAAGAAAGCATTTATTTTTTTTCTAAGGTTAAACTCTTAATTCGTGTAAATTCGGTCATAAATTTTGAGACCTTGAGGACTGGAGTTGCTAAAGTTTAATAATGTGATGTCACAACCTAAGGAGTCAGATAAATGTCATAGTTTCCTTTCGCCAAGCGCCCCCGCCTACTCGTCCAGACACGCTTGTTTCTCCCGCCAAAGTGGCGTCACGATCAGGTTCTCACCAACCAGAGTCCTGATTGGAGGACGGGAAGGCAGTAGAGCCCATTGGGCGCCAGCGGCGGTCGGGTGGCGGAGAGGCGGGGGGAAGCCAAAGGCCCTTCAGCCTCGACCGCCCCCACTTCCACCAAAGCGCACCCCTCCCCCAGCTAGAGGAATTGTCTTCCAGCTCCAGCACTGAACCCCCTAACCCCAAGGCGCGAGGTGCGGCCCCGCTGCATATACCCTGGAGCAGCGGGCAGCGCAGTTATCCCCCTGCCGTCCTGATTCATGCACTGGGAGACCCACGCCCCGCAGCGGCCCTCCAGGCCTCCCTGCAACACCGGGTAATGCAATCCACGGGGGCGGGGGGAGGCGGCGGCAACAGTAGCAACGGCGGCGGCGGCAGCAGCAACAGCAGCACTGCCCCAATCTAGAGACAACCAGAAAGAGGAAAATGGCTCCGAGCAGGGACCGCCTGCTGCACTTTGGGTTCAAGGCGACAGTGAGTGATAGGGGAAGGGAGCTGGGTGGCCGGGAAGGACGTGTGTGTTAGCACAAGGCTATTGGGGAAGAAGCGACAAGACTTAGGGGGCTGGGGTGGACTAGACAGAAAGCTCAAATGCTTGGTGGGTTGGTGCGTGCTCCATGCCCGCGGAGGGGAGGAGAAATGGGAGCTCCCGTGCTGCGTGCAGTAGTCCTGCTTTCCTCTCTCTCCCGGGTCCCCGCGCACTAGCACCCGCCCCACAGCCCCTCCCATACACAAATACACACAGACACACAGACACTTCCCTGCCTGTCCCGTTCCCGGTGGGCTTGCCTGCCAGGGAGGCGAAAGCGGGCTTACGCCGCAGCCGCGCTCCGGCTGCTCCCGGGCCGACCGTCGTCGGCTGCGCCGGGAGTGGGGGAGGGGTGGTCCCGCGCCGCCGCGCGCTCCTCCTCCCCCCTCCCCACGCTGTTCCGAGGCCCGGGCGGCTCTGCCCAATGAGGAACGGCGTTGCTGGCAGGTGGAGAGTGTTTTTGTTTTGGGTTGAAGTTGAGGCTGAGGAGAGAGAAGACCTAGCGACGATTAGTCGCCGCCGCCGCCGGCGCCGCGGGAGGTGGAGGAGGCCCAGCCGGAGTGGAGCGGTCTTTCCTCCTCGCCGACGGTCCCTGGCCGACGGTCCCTGCCCGCCGCTCCTCTGCTTCCTCCCGGTCCCGGAACTCCCGGGCCTGCCCGGGGCCCCTCGTCTTTGCACTCCGCTCGCCGCAGCGCCCGGCCCCGGCCGCACCCGCCGGCCTCATGAGGAGGGACGTGAACGGAGTGACCAAGAGCAGGTTTGAGGTGTGAGCTTGGCGGGGCTAGGGCGGCGAGAGGAAGGCGATTCCCGCTCTCGTGCCCCCCAAATTCGCTCCGCACGGAGCCTCCTCCCTTGCCTGGCGCCGTCCGTCGCCCACCGGCCGCTGGGGCTACCAGACTTTTTTCACCGTCCTCGCGACCCGAAAGCCTAGTGCAGCCCGGCTTCCTTAGTCCTCTTAGCTGGTCGCCTCCGGCCTCTTCCACTCGCGGGCCCCGGCAGGGAATTAGCTCGGGCGCCCTAATTCCCCCCTCCCCCCAGTATCACTCAGCTTTCCATTCTTTACACAACCCTTGGCTTTCCTCCTTCCAGCCGGCAGAAAAAGCATCACTGCTCCGATCAACCGGAGCTTGCTTTTCTTTCTGCCACCTTGTCGTCGAAGCGAGGGGGAAATTATGGGCCAGGGGGCCATTTGTCCGAGTTTGAGAGACCTTGGCTAAACTTGGGAAGTGGAGGTGGTAGGCTGGGATGAGAGAGACGTCTCGACCACGGGCTTTCTGAGCCGTGTTTGGTTGGGGTATTGTTCTGATACTTCCTTTTCTTTCCCGTCTAGTCTGTACGTTTGTAGCTCATTGTTTCTGGGAACTTTCAAATGTGTACAGCCTTTGAGATTGGGACGAAGGTCTGAGAGATTTCATAAAATCCATTCAAGTCTGTTTATCTCTAAAAACTTCTCTGACGAGAGAGGTTTATAGTCATGAAATTGGGAAATGGATGAGGAAATAAGGAAACATATGAAAAGCTTCTTCAGAGAGTAGTCACCGTATAGGGAAGTGATTCCTTTGGGAAATGAAGTATTGTAGCTACGGATGAGTTACAGTAGTAGAGTAATTTACAAGAAGGTTTATGAAGGGAATTGAGAGAAACTTCTACAAAGAAAGAAAATGCTACCTGGCCTTTTCTGGCAGAGAATCAGACTGACCTGGGATCACTCAGCTCAGTGTACATCTCACTTGGTGTTTTTCTTCATTTCCATTTGAAGGATGAAATTGTAAGACGGTGAGACAAAAGTTTCAGGAAACTTGCCAACTAGGTGCAGAGGGTGAAATTGTTACCTAAAGGCCTTCAGTTTAGTCTATTCCTTGATTTCTTTTTATGCTTCTGGGGAAAACATTTTAATTTATTCGCAAATATCAAGACAGGAAGTGTTTGGGGGAAGTTTAAATTCAGAATTACAATGTTGTTGCAGGTAAGGAGTGGAGAAAAATTAAGGAATTGGTCTTCTTAGGGTTTTCATATTTAACTTAAACACAGGCAGAAAGCATCATAGTGGATATGATTTGTTTTTTACTTTAATAGAACTTTATGTTTTCCTAATGTAGAGAGAACCAATAAGCTTAATTTTTGGTGTTTTCATATTTTCATTATTTGGTGTTTTACTGCTGTAAAAGTTGGGACTGTCATTAAAATTATTGAACAGGCATTTAGCAGTTACCAGGAATCTTAAAAGCACTCAGATACTGAAGATCTTAGTTGGGGATAGCCTTTTTCATTGCAATCCGCTCTTTATCATTTTGCTATTCACTTTTAGGTTGTGCGAGTAGCTGTTGGAAAGAGTCCTTTTGTAGTATGTGCTTTAAAACTGCATTGCTATAGCCTGTTTTTATAATTTATATTTTAATTTGTAGTTTATCTGTAATAGTGGTACTAAAATAATAAGAAAACTTATTGCTTTATTAAGCATGTCTGTTTACCTTGATTGGTATGTAACTGGCAGTTACAACTTTCTAAACGTTTTTTGAGAAGATAAAAGAATAAGAGGCAGGGGGAACCCTCCTTGTATTGTACAGTGCTGATGATTAAAGTTTTTATAAACCAAAAGCTACTCTTTTATTATGTGAAGTGTTCCATGCTAGAATACAAATGAGAAGGACTGGAAATGATGTGTGTGAATGAGTTTCATTAACTGAGTATTTTTAAATTTTTTTCCTTTGTTTTTTCTTTTTTTTGTTTTTGTTTTATCTGAGTATTTCTTCACGTCATTTACTTGTCTTTACTGTCCTAATTTACAAGTAGTAAAACAATAAACTGATCTTTTATGAACTGATAAACTTATTGCTAATTCATTGAAAACTTTAAACGTTTACTTTCAATGGATAGAAGATGTAGATAAGATAAAGCAGGCTTTTCATATTTAAACATTTACATCAGATTTTTTAAAATTCTCAAAATATTCAGAATGCTTTTTATTTTTTCAGAATGCTTTTTAAAGGACTGATAATTTTATGATTAAGCAGTTAGCTGATCTCTGAAAATTTTTGTGAATGCAGGAAAATTTTATAGCAAATAATTTCAAATTAGTTATGGTTAATACAAAAGATGAAAGATTGTTTTCTTTTTCTTGGCCACATTTTTTTCTGGGAGAGAGAAGATAACTGAAGCTTATCTTTCTATAGTTGATTCATTAAAATCTTTTTATAGGAAATATCCTGTGTATTATGCTGTAGGATGTTGTAACTGGAGGCCACACACTTTAAATCTTACACTTGGGTAGAGCTATAGAAAAAAAAATTTAAGTTAAAATCAAGAGAGAAGAGTACCTGTTAGCCAGATGTGTAGCATCCAGTAAATAAGTAGCCAAAGTAGATGACTATTGGATAAGAGTTAAAAAGATACAGAGATGTGAAAATTGTTGTTGTTCATTGCTGTATCACTTTGGCATTAAATTTGTACAATAATAACCATTAAAAGTTAATGTGTGCCCAATTATTTTAATCTCTTAATTGAAATTCTTCATTCAAATACTTTTTTTTATTAAACTTTGTTTTTCAGCAAATTTGGTAATTTCAAATTTAATAATAGTTATTGAATGCTTCCTGTATGTCCAGGCCCTGAGCTAGGTGTTTTATCTCAGTTACTTCTAATTCTCACAATTACATTTTACAGTTGAGGAAAGCTAGGGCCTGAGAAGCGTTCAAGTCGCACAGCCAGTAAATAGAGGAGCCAAGATTCCAATCTGCATTTTTTTATTCCATTCTTACCATTCTGCCCTGTTCTTGGCATAACCCAGCATAAAAGCCCATAAAATGTGTGGAGAAGAGTTTGCTAATGTTCTTCGTTTAGTATATGTTATTTTGTCTTTGCCATCAAGAGTGAAGCTACCCTTCATTCTGTAACCAATGTTATTTTAACATCAGTGAGATTAGTGACAGACATGCAAATTTAGGTTGTGGTTTTTTTTTAGTTAAACCTCTACTCTGTCATGCTCTCAGTGGCTCCATTATGAGAACACAGTACTATTGGAGGGAAATTCTATCTTATTTGGGTCTTAAAAAGTCTAACATTAAAGAAGTTATAGTGCTGACATTCAGGTGTCATTTTACAGTTTAATCAGTATCTGCAGATGTTAAGACTCATACAGTTAGGAAGTGATAAGCTCTAATTTGGGTATTTTGAAGTATTCATTATTGTTTTTCATTATACCTCACTGCTACTCTGACACATCTATATTACAGTCTGCTTCATTTTATTAATTGAATTTGTCCAAAATAAGAATCATAAAATGTGGTATGGCAGAAAGAGCATGCTACGTTGGGAGCTAAGAGAACAGGATATTAGTCTGGATTTTTGCCACCAGCTAACTATAATTTTGGTCATTTTTTGTTTAATTGACTTGAGAGAGTGCCAGAGAGAGTGCCCGATTTGTTGTTCCAGTTATTTATGCATTAATTGGTTGATTCCTGTATGTGCCCTCACTGGAAATCAAACAGCAACCTTGGTGTATCCCGACAACACTCTAACCAACTGAGCTACCCAGCCAGGGCCTGGTCATTTCTTTTCACTTTTCTGATTTGATCATTTCACTCCTTTGCAAAACAAGGGAGTAAGACTCAATTATTAAGGTTCCCTTTGTTCCAGAATTGTATGAATCTGTAATTTTTTAATAAAAGCAGAGGACATATTTCTTTGGCCATTTCTTCTGAAACAAACAGCCACTCTGGTATTTTGTTAAAGTTTGTAAGCTCAGTTACACAGTACTATTAAGGCTGCAATAATGACCTTTTCCCCCTTAAGGTTTTATTTTCTAATCTAAACATCTTGCATAGTAAATAACCATATTTTCCATTTTGGTGCATGTGGAAAATGTTACATATTTTTTTTTAGTGGGTGAGAGTCATTTGTTTCACTCTATTTGAAAGGCCTTGAAGTGAGAGTACTAGTAGTACTGAGGACTTTTGTTTTTAACACATTCGAGATTGGTTTGAAAGCAATTTTATATTATAGAAAATCCATATTAGAGGTCTACGCTTTTTAGGTGCATCCAGTCTGTCCTTTTTGAATAGTGTTTTTGGTGTTTATTGTATAAATCATGGATCCTTTTTTACTTTTTGAAGTATGGTACATTATATCATGTACTTAGATGGTAGTCCTTTATTTAAAAATCAACATGTTTGTGTCTTTGTTGTCTTCATAGAGATAAACCATTATGCATTGAAAATTACCGTGTTTGCCCAGCCGGGCGTGGCTCAGCGGTTGAGTGTCGACCTAGGATCCAGGCGATCAGGGTTCGATTCCCGGTCAGGGCACATGCCCCGGTTGCGGGTTGCAGCCTATCAATGACTCATCATTGATGTTTCTCTCTCTCTCTCTCCCTCTCTCTTTCACTCTCTAAAATCAATAAAGATATATTTAAAAAAAAAAAAAGAAAATTACCATGTTTTCCATTAGTTGTTACAATATTTTAGCTTGGCAAAAACTTTACAAAACATATTACTTTTTAAAAAAATCCTCATTTGAGGATATGTTTATTGATTTGAGAGAGACAGGGAGGGAGGGAGGGAAAGAGGGAGAGAAACATCGATGTGAGAGAAAAACACAGTTCCCTTTCCTCCTGTACACATCTCACCGAGGATTGAACCCAAAACCTAGGTATGTGCCCAGATCGGGAATTGAACCTGCAGCCTTAGTGGTGATCAGGGAGGACACTCCAACCAACTGAACCACCCTACCATGGCTACAAAAAGTATTCTTTTTTTTTTTTATCCTC